GACATAGAAAAAAGAAAATTCAAGTGAATGCTGATAAAAATGCATCAGGCTAGGTTCTTAGTGTAATTCTACCAGTTTGAAAGCCATTGAAGATAGACTCTGGTGTGGGTTATGGGACAAGACAAAAATGTTGTAATCACACAGATTTATATTCTAAAAATAATATTTATGTAGTTTTATTAATTTAGAAATCTTCTGTCATTTCAATTGCATTGTACAATATGTGGACCAAGTATTGTGTGTGTTTATTGAGAATGAAATGAAATGTCAGAAAGGTTGAATTGCCTCAGGTCACATACAGTGCCTGAAGAAACTGGTACATTAACCTAGTTCTCTTGGTTTCTAGTGTAGTATTTTTTCCATTGAGCTGGTCAAAACTTGAATTTATGTGCACTGTTAAGAACTGGGGAATTAAATTCAGAAATTGTCTTATGAGTTACAATTCTCAGAGAGGTTATAAGCCCTCTGAAGGGAAAGGACATATTTCTGTTTCATGATGTTATTCTGAACTTGCTTCTTCCCCCAAACTTAGGAATGTGTGCCATGTGTGTGGTTTTTTTAAACCATAAAGTTATTGAGTTAATAACTCTTGTCATAAGATTTAGTATTTTAAAGTATGCAATTCTATCGTTTTTAGTGTATTCACAAGATTGTGCAGAATTTACTATTATCTAACTGAAAATATTTCCATCCTTCCAAAACAAATTTTTTTATTAAAGATTTATTTATTTATGCACAAAGATCTGGGGTACAGGCCAGAGATGCAGGGGTGGTGAGAGGATGCACCAGAGACAGAGTGGGGAGCAGAACAGGCAGATGGATGAAGTACACTGCTGAGGGGAGCAGTGGGCGGGTCAGGAGAGGTCTGCTGGGCCATGTGGGCCACCTCCCAGGCAGGCAGGGATTGAACGCATCCAAAAGTGGCTTTAGCTTCTCAGTGCTGTGCTTTAACCCGCTGTGCCACCAGGGAGGGTCCTCCAAAAAGAATCTTTAGACCTATTCACACTCGGTCCTGTTTCTCTATTTCCTGACTTAATAGGTAGTCACTATCTACTTTCTGTCTATGGATATGCTTATTTTGGAATCATCTTTGACTTTGTATGTCTGGCTTCTTCTTTCACTGAGCTTGATGTTTTAAAGTTTCTTCTAGGGTATGGAAATGTCAGTACTTAATCTCTTTTATGACTGAATTCCATTGTTTGGATATACTTCATTTTGTTTATCCATTTGTCAGCTGACATTTGGGTTTCCTTATGTAGGGCGTTATGCATGATGCAGTTATGAACAAACACTGTACAGGTTTTTGTGTGAAAATGCATGTTTTCAGTTCTTTTAGGTGTATATTGTCATGTATCTCTTAATGATGGGGATACATTTTGAGAAGTGTATCACTAGGTGATTCATAAACATCATAGAATGTACATATAGGTAGACAGCATAGCCTGCAACCCATCTAGACTGTGGTATAGCCTTTTGGTAGCACTATTGAATTTGTTGGTAAGAGATGTGTCTTTTCACATCTCTTAGAATTTCAGGGTCATGCAGTGATTCTGTTTTATTTTTGAACTGCCATACTTTCCCATGGTAGCAGCCTTATTTTTATTCCCACTTACAATGTATGAAATACCTTATGTTTTGTGAGGTCGATAATCATCACTTTACAAATCTTCAAGGCCATTTTTAATTTCATTCCCTTCCACCTCTATCCCTATTTATTGAAATGCATTGTATGCATTCTTCAAAGGATAGCACTCACATGCTACTTGTTATGTAAAATTTCCTTGGATTACTTGAGCTAAAAGTGGTATTGCTCCCTTTAATGCATATTGTTCTATCATTTACTTCTCTTTGACATCTTTTGTTATAGTTGTTGAGGTCATGGCATAAATGGGAAAGAATTGGAATCCTGAACTTAGAATTTTAAAATGCTCCATGATGCAGATAATGCTGTATTTATCTCCATAATATATATATAATGCTATATCACACCAATGTTGTTTAAAAAAAAAAATATAAGGGACTTCCTGGGTGATGTTAGGAGTTAAAGCACAGCACTACGAAGCTATCTGCAGCCATGGCAGCATGAGTTTGATCCCTGGCTAGGGAGGTGACTCACATGGCATGGCAGACCTTTCCTGTCCCTGCCCGCTGGGCCCCTCAGCAGTATATTTCAGTCAGTTTGCCTGTTCTGTTCCCCATTTTCTGTCTCTGGTGAATCCCCTTAACCCCCACACCTCTGGCCTGTACCCCAGTTATATGCATAAATAAATAAAATCTTAAAAAAAATAAAGTCCTATAAATACACACCACCTCTATTTGTAAAATTCCAGAATTTGAAATGACAGATATCTATTTTTACAACTGCAAGTATATAGGTCTGCAGATACCTAATAATTTCTTGTACTTGCACCAAACTTCTTAATATAAGCAGATAGACAACTGGTAGTCTACATTTACCTGTAGACATGAGTCTAGAATAGAATCTCTGTTAGTTCTATATTAAAGAAGCTTGGTTCAACATAGTACACGACTTAATATTGTTACAGCTGTAGTTTTAAGATTTATTTTGTAAAATCATATTATGTTACTAAACATTAAAATATTTCAAATCATTTTAACTTTACTGTCTTTATTAGCTTAAATATCTTTTTTTGGTGAAATACCATTGTGAAAATTGATAACCATATCGCCAAATATGTCAGTAATATCCAAAATAACATGATCCTTTTTTAAAGATTCATTTTATTTATTTATGTATACAAGAATTGGGATCTAAGGCTAGAGGTGAGGGGGAGGGTAAGGGGATTCACCAGAGACAGAGTGGGGAGCAGAAGAAGTAGATCTACTGAAATACACTCTGCTGAGGAGCAGTGGGTCACACAGGACAGGTCTTCTGTGCCATGGGTTACTAGCTCCCTGACTGGAAAGTCATACAGCGGTGGCTGATGATAGTTTGATAGCACTGAGATTTAACCCCTGTGCCACTAGGTAGGCCCTGTGATCCTTCTTAAAAATATATCTATATGGTATAATGCCTTATGGTTAAGAACACAGATTCTTATAGATGTACGGCCTGGGTTTGAAATCTGGCTTTGCCATTTATTAGCTGTGTGATCTTGGAGAAGTACTTAACATTTCTGTTCCTGATTTTCTATCTACAAGTATATATACACAATCCCTTCCTATAGGTACTTGCATGTTATAGACATAGGTACATAAATACTAGCTTATGGTTATATACACAAGTACTCATGTTAATATAAATACATAATTTTAACAAAATAAATACTGTTTTGAATCATGCAATTTTCACTTAATTTTATTCATGCTTTCTCATGTCATTAAATATGCTTCAAAACATTGTTTTTAATAAATGCACATAGTACATCCTATGAATATACAAAATATACTTATCAAATTCCCCATTAGAATTTTCCTCCTTGATTTTTTGAATTGTAGTTAATGCTTTGACACCCTTTGTTATAGTTGAGTTCATGGAATAAATGGAAGAGAATTGGAATCCTTAACTTGGAATTTTAAATTGTTACATGATGCAGATACGTTGTATTTATCTCCATAGTATATATAATACTATATAACATCAGAGTTGTTTTTTTAAAAATAAAATAAGACATTAACATGAATACATAATTAGGTAAGTATATTTGGTATATTCATAGTATGGACTCTGCAGTCATTAAAATCAATGTTTTGAAGCACATTTAATGGCATAAAGAAAGCATGAATAAAATTAAATGAAAATTGTAGTTAATGGTTTGTATCTGCAAATACTTTTTTGAAAGATTTATTTACTAATGATTCAGAACTGGGGTACAGGGCAGAGATGCAGGGGCAGTGAGGGGATTCAACAGAGACAGAGTGGGGAGCACAATAGGCAGGTTGGTGAAGTAACACTGCTGAGGGGGGCGGCAGGCTGGTCAGGAGAGATCTGCCCCCTCTGTGGGTCACATCCTGGCTGGAGATGGAATTTGTGCTGAAGGGGCTGCAGCTAGCTTCATGGTGCTGCACTTTAACCTGTTGTGCTACCAGGGAGGGCCCTGCAAACCCATTTTTTTTTTTTGTTTGTTTGGCTTTCTGGTAATATTTTAAGGACAGATTTTTAAAAGTGGAATTACTGTTATGAATGGCCTTTTGATTTAGGGGGCCCTACCTCGTGGCACAAAGGGTTAAAGCATCACACTGAATCTATCTGAAGCCCCTGCGGCAGGAGTTCAGTTCCCAATCAGGGAGCTGACCCACATGGTGGGCAGATCTCTCTTGACACACCGGCTGCTCCCCTCAGCAGTGTATTTCATCGACATGCCTGTTCTGCTCCTGACTCTGTCTTTGATGAATCCTCTCACTCACTGCAGTCTGGCTGCATCCCATTTCTTTTATGCATAATTGATAAAGCTTCTAAAAATAATTTAGAATTAACTTTGAAATTAAAGTGTTTATGTTTATTTCATAAGTTGATTTTCTTCTAACATTCATTTCAAGAAGTATGTATTAAAACTTGCTATGTATGCTGTATTCTTAGACCTACAGGGTAGAACAGTGAGCAAATAAGGACGGTTTTTGGCTTATGGAACTTTCTTATCTATATGACTGTAGATAGCTGTCAGTGGGTTAAATCTTACTTTATTTTGTTTAAGAGTTAGCATTGATTAAATTAGAAAAGCTTTGCTTTAATAACTTAACTATGTTATGCTGTCTTTTTACTACCTGGTATTATATACATCTTCCTATGTGTCTGTGTCCATGTACATGTTTTGTTAATAAAAACAAAACACTGATTCTTAGGCTCTGTGCTAGCATATGAATCTGGTTTGCCTGGGTTATACCTGTAAACATTCCTGAAGATAAGCAGGCGGTTGGGAGACACTCAGATTCTCTTCCTATAGTCTCCATAACTTACCTGGTTATATTTAGGTTACAATTCAGCAGTCAACTTAAATTGTAAGTATTCTAACGGTAATTGATATCTTTAATTAAAACAGGTTGAATCATTTATTTTGGACCAAGAGGATCTGGATAATCCAGTGCTTAAAACAACATCAGAGATATTCTTATCAAGTACAGCAGAAGGAGCAGATTTACGCACAGTGGATCCAGAGACACAGGCACGACTAGAAGCATTACTAGAAGCAGCAGGTATGTTATTTTTTGTCTGACTTTTTTCTGTAAAGAAAGTTAAAGAGTTAACTTTCTCTACAAAAGTTATATGAAATACCCTCATTATTTAATGTATAATATTTGAAAGCTTTACCAAATTTGTATTTTTTATTTCCTAAAGTAAAAGTTGATATTTGGTATTTAAGGATTCTTGTTAAAAAATTGACACTAAGTTATTTATGTGTTCAGTACCAACATTTTCAGGGTATTAGATAATCAGCTACTTTTCAAGGAAAATATTACCAATTACAATATAAAATGAAAATGTGGGAGGTAAGCTTTGTTCCTCAGATTATGATTCTTAACTGATTTAAGGAACTCTGCATGTGATTACTTTTTCACTTTAGTCTATTTGTGACTTAATATGGATGGCTTTTTTTACTTAAAACATTGAACACAAAATTGGTGCAAAAGATACTAAATGTTGCTAATTTCTTGTGAAACTGTGGAAAAGAAAAATCTGTGATGAGCATACATTCTTAAAATAATGGCTACTTATCATATTTTATTTGCTATACAAAGTTTCCTTTCTACTGTAATGAAATTCTTAAAATTGTTTTAAGAAGAAAGTTAAATTTTTTAGTTTTTCATATTCTGACATATGTTCACTCTTGTTTTTTGTTTTTGTTTTTAAATAAAGAATTAGGGTATAGGCCAGAGGTGTGGGTTATGAAATGACTCACCATAGATAGGGAGCAGGACAGGTATATTTACTGAAATGCATTGTTAAGCTTAAGGAGCAGTTGGCAAGACAGAAAAGCTGCTGCACCATATGTGGGGCTAGCTTCCTAGCAGGGATCCAGTGCAGACCTTAGTGGTGATAACACTGAGACTGAAATCCCTAGGCCACCAGTGAGGCCCCTGATATATGTTCACTTTGTGTAAGTTATATTTGTTTAATATAAATTATATGCACATTACTCACATATAAGAATTTTATCAGATTTTTTTAAATTGTGCTGCTTTTTTTTTTTTTTAAGATTTATTTACGCATACAGAACTGGGGTACAGGCCAGAGGTGCAGGGGCGGTGAGAGGATCACAGAGACAATGTGGGGAGCAGAGTAGGCGGAACGATGAAGTACACTGTTGAGGGGAGCAGCAGGTGAGGCAGGAGACTGCTGCGCCATGTGGGTCACCTCCCCAGCTGGGGATCAAATTGGCACTGATGCGGCTATGGCTAGCTTGCAGTGCTACACCCTAATCTGTTGTTGCCACCAGGAAGGGCCATCAGATTGATTTTTAACATAGTGCCTAGACATTTATTAAGAGTGCTGTATGGATGTATCTTAATATATCACATATGTACGTATACATGTATCTTAATCCCATGTTAAAGCTATTAAAATGTAGAAAATTAAAACCTCTGCGGAAATTTTTTGGAGTGTTTTAAGAAGCATAATATTCAAGTAAGTATTCTAAAGTATCATATTTCATATTGAAGCAAGAAAAACAATGTTGCATTTCACCAAATAATGACTGGAGGAAGTAAGAATGAAAAGAAATTGTGTATTTTCATATATATATATATTGGTAGAAAGAAAATAAACCTTGAAAACAATGATTTTCTGTCTTCTAAGGGATTTCAGAATGTTGTGAATATTAAAATTCCAGGTACTCTAGATGTTGTTTAGATATTCTTGGAGAGACTGATACTTTATATCATATTTTAAAATTTATCCTGTTGTGGAAAGCCATAGGTACAGTTTGTAGCAGTTGATGTTAGTTCATCTGATGTGTTTTTTGGAACTGGTGGAAACTTAAAATTAAACTAAATAAATATCCAGTAATGACTCTGATTTAAGACAGGACTAGTAATAATAATAATAAATATATATACATTTATATATATTTGTTATATTATACTAATATATAATGTTATGTTAGTAATTAAAATGGCATCTTTTCCCTCTGGATTTCTTGTGAGTCTGCTAGTTGTGATTTTGCTATATATGCTACATAAAATTCCTCAAATAAAAGTGCTATGGTTACACTCTAAATTATTTTTTCTTATATATATATATATTTTTTTTTTTTTAAAAGATTTATTTATTTATTCGTACAGAGCTGGGGTACAGGCCAGAGATGCGGAGGGTGAGAGGATTCACCAGAGACAGAGCGGGAAGCAGAACAGGCAAATCCACGAAGTACACTGCTGAGGGGAGCAGCGGGCGGGTCAGGAGAGGACTGCCACGCCATGTGGTCGCCTCCGGGGCAGGCTGGAATCGAACTCTTGCGGAAGTGGCTTTAGCTTCTTAGTGCAGTGCTTTAACCTGCTGCGCCACCAGGGAGGGCCTTTTCTTATATTTTGATGTCTTACATTTATTTGGTTTGCTTATAGCAGAGTAAAATGTGAACTGAAGGTGTTTCTCTTCTTTAGGATTTCTCTGTACTAATTTCCTTCTCCAGACCAGACCTGATTATAGGTGGTAGTATATCCTTTGCTCTCTGGTTTATGTTGACCCCTGACTCTTGTTGCGAATACTATCCTATAACCCTGATTCCGTGATTAAGCATTTTAAATTAATTTCTGTTTTTCTGGACACCCCATGATTCTTCTTTAGGGTTTTTTTCTTTTGTGCTCTTTTCTGATTGATGGGAAGCTTAGTATAAGTAGTACAATATCATAGAACTGCTTGTTTTTTATAACTGCAATGTTAGAGAAAGCTTTGTTTTCAAGGAGGTGTCAGAAAGTAATGAATTTTAAAATTTAGTGTACTTTGACTACTTAAACATTGTTGGATATAATATTATGTCCAAAGGATTTTAAAATGTCTTCCTTTCTAAGACCCGGGGGGTGGGGGGGTGTCAGTCAGTTCCCTGTTTAAAGAATATTTTCTTTTTGTGGTTTACTATATTCATTTATTTTTTTGAACTTTGGTGTTTAGCCTATAGCATTTGTGATGAATTTTTAGACTTGTGTTTCCTAACCACAATTTTTTAAATTGAAGTGTCATTGGCTTTTAATGCTGTTTTTAATTATGAGAATATATTAGACATTGCTTCTTTCTTAAGGAACATAGAATTCTTGATACTGCTTGAGCAAAAACAAGATAAAATTGAAAAAAAGTTTAAATATTCTTGAGCTTCTTAAAATTAAGTATAGTAGTCATATAAAAAATGTTTAAAATGTTTCTCTAAATTATAAATATACATACTGCGAAATAAGTAAAGTGTAGACATTGACAGAGATGTCAATACCTCACTCTCCCCAATGGATAGATTAACTGAACAGAAAATAAACAAGGATACAATATCCTTAAACAAAGACTGCATGGACCTAATGGACATTTACAGGGCACTATAGCCCCAAAAGTAAAATATATTTTTCTCAAGTGCACATGGGATATTCTCCAGAATATACCACATTCTGGGACATAAAACAAATATCAACAAATTTACAAAGCCTGATGTCATACCTAGCATTTTCTTGGACCATAAAGCATCAAATCTAGAAATAAAGATATCAAAAGAAAGCAGGGAATACACTACTGAAAGACTACTTGGTTAATGAGGAAATCAAAGAAAAATTAAAAAGTATCTCGAGACAAATGATAATGATACAACGTTGCAAAAATTTAATGGGATATAGTAAAAGCAGTACTATGAGGGAAATACATAGCAGTCAGGCCCACATCAAGCAACAAGAACACAGATGAATAACTATCTTTGTTATTGCAAAGTATTCAAAAAAGAACAAACAAATCCAAAAGTCAGTAGAAGAGAAATAATAAAAGTCAAAACTTTTAGATATAAACGGTAAAGAAATTTAAAAGACCACCCCCCAAAGGTTAATTAAACCAAAAGCTGATTCTTTGGAAAAGTAGAGAAACCTCTAACAAGGCTCACTAGAAAAATAGGGGTAAAATCTCAAATACATGGAATCAAAAATGAAAGAGATCCCAACACATACTGCAGAAATTTGGAGGCTAATTAGAGACTTATGAACATCTAAATACTAACATTCAAAAATCTAGAAGACATGAACAAATTTTTAGAACTACATAACCATTGAGACTGAATAGGGAAGAAGTAGAAATCCTGAGCAAAGAAGTAGAAGTACTGATCATAAGCAAAGAAATTAAAACAGTAATCAAAACTCTCCAGAAAAACCAAAAATCTGCGACCAGATGACTTAACAAGTAAATTCTACCAAACCTTCAGACTAGATGAACTAATACCTATTGTGCTCAGACTCTGCCAGAAAATGAAAAAAAAAGGAATACTAACAAAATACATTACTCTAACACCAAAACAAAACGAAAAAAGAAAATTACAGACCAATATCCCTAATCAGTACACATGCAAAAAATCCTCACAAAATGGTCTGAGACCCGGGACAAGAGCTGCCTTCCTGCATTTGCCGCCCACGGCCCAGCTGCCACCATGGCCTTTTACTGCATTTTGTGTTTCTGTGTGGAATTGCGGATTTCACCAGAAGTTTTGGTATTACTACTCCTGAGCAAATGATTGAGAAGACCAAAAGAGAAACTGTGTATCCACCGTACAAATTTACCCTTGGTTCAGAAGACCAGGGACCGCTGGACATTGAGTAGCTGCTGTCACCAGCTGATAATCAGCAGGTGGAACAAGTGATTGTTTTGTATTCTGGAAACAAAATTTTTGAGGACTACTGTAAAGATCTGAAAGGACGAGTACATTTTATAAGCAGTGATCTCAAATCTGGTGATGTATCAATAAATGTAACAGATCTACAGTTGTCATATATTGGCACCTGTCAGTGCAAACTGAAAAAAGCTCCCAGTATTGGAAATAAGTTTCAGCTCACAGTTCTTGTTAACCTTCAGGTACAAAGTGTTACATTGATGGGTTAGAAGAAAGTGGAAATGACTTTTAACTAAAATGTGAACCAAAAGAAGGTTCACTTCCATTACAATGAGTGGCAAAAAGTCTCTAATTCACAGAAGCTGCCCTTCTTGTGGTTAGCAGGTATGAATTCACCAGTTATATCTATAAAAA